TACCTCCGTAGCTCCTATCGTTGCCCCTACTTCCGCAGCCTCAAACGCTGCCGCCTCTCAGTCGAAAGACACTACCAACAAGCCAGCAACCCGTTGCGCTCCCAAATTGGCTAAAAACCAAGTCCCGCCCCCTGTCTTTCTCAGAGACAAGGCCAAATTCACTCAAATATCCAAAACCCTTTACAATAAGGGTTTCAAATAAGACCAAGCCACCAATGTCGGCGAGGCCATTAAAATAGTGCCGGCGTCTATAGAAGACTTCCGAAATATAACCCGCCTATTCACGGCCGAGCGTGTGTCCTATCACACATACGCCCTCGCCGAAGAAAGGAAGGTCAAGGCAGTCCTCCGCGGAGTTCCCTATGAACTCGCAAACGAGGACATTCTGGAAGACCTTAAATCCCAAGGCTTCCCCATAGAAGCTGTGCATAAAATGCACAGCAGCAGGGGCGAAAGGTTTAACCTCGCCCTCCTCGTTCTCACCAATGTGCCGGAGGCGAAGGCCATCTTCCGCGAGGTACGCACTGTGTGCGGCCTGTCGCGTGTTAAGGTCGAAGCCCCACACCGGCGCGGCTACCCAGCGCAGTGCCACCGCTGCCAACTCTATGGGCACGCGGCAGCCAACTGCTCAGCTCCACCCAGGTGCATTAAGTGCCTAGAACCCCATCACTCGAAAGAGTGCCCTCTGCCCAAAATCGCCGAATCCCCACCTTCATGTGTCCTTTGCGGACAAACAGGACATCAGGCCAATTTTAGAGGTTGCCCTCGCGCTCCTCGCCCACCTCCGAGTCGCAAAGCTCCACCCCAGGTCAATGACCGAACCTTCCCGGCTCTTGTAAGCCGCAAGGCCAGCCAGGGCCAGCCCCTACCTCAGCCCCCTCAGGGCTCATCTTAGCCCACACAGGGCATCTACCGGCCCTCAGAGGGCCCCTATCGGCCACCTCAGGGCCCTCCTCGGCCCCTTATGAGCCTTCCGCTCTCTCAGCCTGCGCCGCTTCCTATAAACCCCTGGTTCCAAAAGGAATCAAATATCCCGCGGCCCTCCGCCGCCCCACAAAAACAGACAGACTCTGTAGTAGAATCTTTAAACCTAGTGTATAACACTCTCAATAGGATCAATTTAGATGAAATCCTTATCCTTGCGCGTAGAACTGCGCACAGCTCAGTCCCCTCAGGACCGTCTCCTTGCTCTTACTGAGCACATCAACCTACTAAGGTCTTTGTAATTAAACTATGCCGGAGCCCTCTGCTCCCGCAATATCTGACGGTCGTATCAAACCAAAGGGTTTATCGTTTGTTTCATTAAATATACGCGGTTTGCGAAATAACCTCCCAGAGCTTAAGCTATTTCTTCGAGATCGCGAAGCCGATCTCCTCCTCCTGGAGGAGACCCATCTCAGCCCCAAGGTCTCTGAAGGCCTATTAAAAATTACTCACTTCTACGTAACGATAGACCCGACCGCAAAGGCGGCGGTACTGCCATCTATTACAAAAAGTCCCTTCATTGCTCCCACATATCTACTCCGTCGCTTACCAGTATGGAAGCCACTATCACTAGATTAGCTATGACTGGACACCAGTCAATCATTATAGCCTCTTGCTATATCCCTAGCGGAACCCTCCCCGTTAAGAGTGATTTCGAAGCCATCCTTGCATTATGCGACTCAGTCATTATGTTTGGAGACTTTAACTCCAAGCATACTGAATGGACATGCCGTACTACCTTCCCTAGTGGCAAGATACTACTACCAGTAGTGGCAGGGTGCTGCTCAATATCACTCAGTCTCTCGACCTGACTGTCTACAGCCCCCTCACTGCCACCCACTATCCCGACATTGTTAACTACGCTCCTGATGTGCTAGATTTTGCTCTAGTTAAAGGAGTCTCCCTTAACCTTAGAGCAATCGAGTCTCTCGATAATCTAGGATCCGACCACCGTCCTGTATCCCTCCTTCTTGGCCATCAGCCATCTCCAACTCCCACTTCCAAAACCTACACCAACTGGAAGGGCTTCAAGAAGTCTCTAGCCTCGGCTATAGACTCTCCGGATCCTCCCATAACCCTTTCTTCCGACGCCCTCGACAGTACGGGGAAAATAGACACCGCGGTCGAAAATCTCACCTCACTTATAACATCCTCTCTTAAAGAGAATGAAAAAGTTGTCCCGGTTGCTAAAACTAGTCTTCCCCTAGATATTAGCAACCTGTTAAAAGCCAAAAAAGCTGCCCTCCGCAGAGCTGCACGTTATCCCACTCCCGAATATACCCACTACCGACTTGCAGCCCACCGCCTTCAACGCAAACTGCGTTACCGCCTCCAAGATTACAGTGACCACGAAGAGGGCAATCTCATGGAGAAAATCTCTCCCTCTCACACAGCGTCCTACCGGATGGCGAGAGCCCTCCGGATAGACGCTATAACGCATACTCCCCCTCTGTCTCGTCCCGACGGCTCCATTGCCTTCGAGGACGAAGAAAAGGCTGAGTGCTTCGCTGACAGCGTCGACGCTCTATGCTCTCCTAGCTTACAACCCACTGACCCCTTACACATCCAACTAGTGGAGGACGAAGTGCGACGCAAGAACTCGCCCCCTACCGCCTCTGACCCTATCACTGTGTCCAAAGATGAGATTTCATCTACCATCAAAGGACTTAGGCCCAAAAAAGCACCGGGTGCGGATGGTATCTCCAACCAAGCCCTCAAACACTTCCCGGAGCAGTTAATCGCCTTACTGGCCATTATCTTTAACGCCTGCTTCGAATTCAGTTACTTTCCCACCTCTTGGAAAGAGGCAACTGTCATTGGCATTCCCAAGCCAGGCAAACCTCACCACCTCCCCTTCAATCACCGTCCCATCAGCCTCCTCAAGGCCATGGGCAAACATTTCGAACGAGTTATTCTCGTGCGCTTGAGGCGCCATTTGTTTCCCACAGACGGCGACCCTCTTGTCATCCCACAACAATTCGGGTTTCGAGCCAAATACTCGTGCCCCCAGCAAGTTCACCGCATAGTGGAATACATCCTCAGCGGTTTTTATCCTCGCCGTCAAAAAACCATCGCGGTCTTCTTTGACATTGCCAAGGCATTCGACAGAGTCTGGCACGAGGGCCTTATCTACAAACTGTACGACTTAGGCCTCCCGGACCGTCTCGTTCGCCTTGTAGCCTCCTATCTGAAGGATCGTACCTTTCGCTTTAGACACGAAGGCACGCTATCCTCTACTCGTCAAATAAAAGCCGGTGTCCCTCAAGGCTCTGTGCTTGCTCCCCTCCTATACATACTATTCACCAATGACATCCCTATCCCGTCGAATGGTATTAAACTAGCCCTCTTTGCAGATGACACAGCCCTTTACTCTAAAGACAACTCACTACCACAGATTCGGAACAAGATCCAAAAGTCAGTAAGCGACTTAGGAGCTTGGTTCCAAAAATGGCGTATCGACGTAAACCCGGAGAAAAGCTCCGCCGTTTTGCTTCGAATATAAACGACGTCGTCTCACCACTACTCCGCCATCAGGATGTTAGGAACCCCTGTCCCATGGCAAACTAAAGCCAAATACCTAGGCGTCACCCTTGATGCAAGGCTCACTTTCGAGCCCCATATCAAGAAGGTTACTCGCACCGCACGTTTTTACATGGGTAGGCTCAACAGAATGTTGGACAGACACAGTAAAATGTCCCTCCGCAACAAGCGAATCCTATATAAGGTCTGCATACGACCTGTCATGACCTACGCGGCCCCAATTTTCGCACATGCTAAGCCCAAAGCTATAAATGAACTTCAAATAGTTCAAAATCTATTCTGTCGTAGGGCCACTAACTCGCTCTATTATGTCCGTAATGCCGACCTACATCGAGACTTAGAGCTCCCAACAATCCAGCAGTTCCTTAAATCACTCTCTGAGAGATTTTTAAAAGCCTCAGAATCCCACCCAAATCATCTTATTCGTGAGACAGCTGCCTATGCAGCCCCCATCCACACTCGCTATAGTATGCGCAGACCGAGAAACTCTCTCTCGGACCCCCCCCAACAAGCTTTCGGCTGACCTGAACTGCCTCCTGGCGGCTCAGGCCGAGCCTACATAACACATCCCTTAATCTGCCTTAGTTAGGCACTCTTCTAAGCGGCTTTTCGCCGCTTGCGCCCTCCTTTCTGCCAAGGAGGGTCGCGTTAGTATACGGCTTAGAGATCTCTAGACAGATCGTTAAGCCAATTCCTAAAAGGTTGAGTTTAGTGGGTAAAAGTCACCACATAACCACGCAGCCGGCTGCGTGGTATACTATGAGCATTCTCAACCTCCCTCCCCCGCTTTCCGGAGGGTTGCCCATATTTGCTTCGGGCGCAAAAAAAAAACCGCGCTGCCGCCATAAGGATTCAGTTATTCGTAGCGAACGCACGTATCCTGGAGAGTATAGGCGAATAGTTGCATTCGATTATTGCGAATCACTTGAATACTGACTGTTTGCATATTTCATTTATTTATATTTTAGGGTTTGTAGGTTAGGTTCTTTTTCTTATTTTTGATATAATTTTGTAAATAAATATTGTAAGTATATGGTATAAGTTAGGCGGTTCTTTCCTTGATTTTTGTGTATTTACTTATCTTAATTTTTATTTTAGGGTTTGTAAATAAATATTGTAAGCATTTGTTACAGGTTAGGCATTTCTTTCCTTGATTTTTGGTATACTTATCTTAATTTGTATTCAGGGTTTGTATATAAATATTATAAGTATTTGGTATAGGTTAAGCATTTCTTTTCTTGATTTTCTTAAATAAGTATAAATTCATTAGCTCAGGTTAGTAATTAATTTTTTAGGAATTCTTTTGTTTTATAAAGTTGGTACGTTTGGTTTACATGTCTTAACACTTATTACTTAAACTGTGATAATTTTAGACTGTATAATAATCTGTAAGTATTTATAATTTAATTGTTTACGATAGTACGTGTTTACTAAATAACTGTGTGTTAAGTAGTAAGTACTATTTTATTGTAAGAATGCCTCGAAGAAGATGCAACCTCTCCCAATGTAGCAGAAATGCTAAAAGGATGAGATTAGTTCGATCACAGGAATTTGAGGAAGGTCGTGACGCAAGGCTCTCTGCAACTCAGGAACATCAGACGAGGTTTTGTGCTGCAGAAACTTCGACTCAGCGAGAAGCTCGACTGAGTTCAAATCGTTCTCGAATGATGACAACTCGTAATGGGGAAAACGGGGAACAACGAAAGGCACGTTTATCTGTCGATCGCGAAGCTCACGCGCTATCGCGTAAGTGTGAGACTTTTGCTGACAGGGAAACCCGCCTGAGCTTCCAGAGAGCACGGACAACAAATGCTCGATCCCAGGAGACACAGGACGAACGGAAAATACGTCTCAATGCCGAACGTGAAGCTCATGCACTATCGCGTGAGTCTGAGACTTTCACTGATAGGGAAATTCGTCTGAGTTCTCAGAGGGTTCGGACAGCAAATGCCAAAAAAGATAAGATAGCAGAAGTTATACTAATACAAATATACACCGGAAAAATAAAAATTGGTTATACTTTCAGTTCGACGATTAATTTAACAAATATGCGGCTTGTTTCCTAATTGTAACCTGTTGCTGTTGGATTGCCGCCAAAACAATTTCTGCCGTCTCGCAGGCGTGCATGCGTTGAATTTGTATGTTAACAACTTTGCTTGAAGATATTAAATTGATACACAAATTTTTAACAAAACATAAACATAAAAGCTCACGCCTGTCATCCAGATGAGTTGGCAGAGACCACGGACTTCTATTTGGCATATATACTTACGCATACATGCTCGTCGGTTAGGGTACTCTTAATCCGACCGATGAGTTGATTTATCATATTAAAAATAATCTGCGTTTATTGCATTTATATACAAGGTATGATACGAATTGTTGACTTCATAATTAACAGAATTACTTTGCGAAAATGCATTATATTAACTATATTAAAAAATAACTACCTATGATCCGTGTAACAAAATAAAATTATTTATCTTAACTGGTTAGAAGAGCATCTCCCACCCTCTCTCAATTGCTTCTATCGTCTCCGTCACCACTAATCCCAACATCACTACACTAGGAAAAACACAGCACCATTGATAATACGACACGTGTTTCGCCTCTAAACAAGACATCAAGACATCAACATGTGAAATAGACTCTGCGATGGCTGATCGCTAAGTGCTTTGACTTTTTACAAGAAGTTTTCTTCCTCGCACAACTTCCCTGTGGAATCCACTACCACCAGCGATTTTTCCGGACCGCTAAGACTTAGGGACCTTCAAAAAAGAGCCTACCCTTTTTTAAAGACTGGCAACGCATCTGCAATTTGTTGTTTTTCATAGGCGGCGGTAGTCACTTACCATCAGGTGCCACATTAAAAATGATTTAATAAAACCTTAAAAATTTCCTATTAACGTAACTACCGCAAAAAGTTAATTTTAACTTGACTGAATGTTGAATGAAATATTTCTACCGATGGCAGCACGATGCTATACTACACTATGCTCTCTTGATCCAGTAGTAATTTAAGAGTTATTATATATTTGTTAATTAACAAGGTAAGGTAAGGTAAGTGAAGATACAGCCTCATCCATTCCACTGCTAGTTACAGCCTTCCTCTTATCACTAAATATCAGGGCAGCAATTTTTAATAAATATGTTGCAAATTTTGGTATGGTTTTAGTTCTGATTTCAGTTAAGATATCCGTTTTACGATATCGGTTACAAAATACCAAAATCTTTCAAGTTCCAAGTCGAGGGGAAAGCGCTTTGGCGTGTTCTACATGATGTTTGATAATAACCTTAGATGTTCGTAGTGAAAAAAGAAGATAATTGTCATGAAATTATTATATTGTTATCGCTTCTTAAAATATTTGCAAAATTTTCAGACTTTTGGAAGTTGGTAAGACAATATTACAAAACTCCATTACATTCATGCATTTATACATAGAGGTCAAGCTAATATAAAGGGTACAAAAACGGATCGTCTAATTTCTTTACAAATATTATTTAAAAAAATTGTTCTTAAAGCGTGCGATATTTTTACTCCTAAGTACACAGTCAAGACCCCGTTCAATATTGAGCCCGATATTAACGTAATTTCTGTAAAAAAGAATCTGTACTAAGTAAAATAATAACAACATTTTACCTGGCATAATACACATGTTTTTACTAATTACATGGAATAAAAAAACGCTTTTAAATATTTTCGACGTTAGTAACTTTAAACGTTGAAAAACCGGTAACTATTATACTAACGATAACTATTATTAGAAAATAACTGATGGATTCATAAAAACGTTTTTTTAGAATAAAGCTGACAAACATATACACATTCCATCTCATAGACACTCATAGATATTTACGTCTATCCTCAACTAAGAATCAGTATGCAAATGTGTTGTCACTCCTGAGGTCATAGACGGAATGGTTCGTTTCCAGTAAAAAGGGTCCTCCGGTTTTCTACACTCACCATGCGAAACACAGAAGCGTTAAGCTTCTATTTAACGATATCATTCTGTGAGAGCGTGGTCTTTCCCTGTTGGACTGGCCCATTTGTGCTACATTTAATATAGATATAACATGGCTCTACCACGTGCTATATAAATTATGTGTTTATTTAAATCTTATGTTATTTTGTTATATTTGCACTAAAAACTGCTTCCCTACAAAAGCTGAGGTCCATATCTAGCAGTGGATTTCACGTATTGATAAAGAAGAAAAAAAGAAAGACGAGTTACAAGCTAACACACGGTTCACTTGATGATAATAAGATGCCGAGGCACATTGACACCTAAATCATTGACTGAGATCAAAATGTATGGTCATCCCTGAGGATTAATATGGAATGCCTCGTTAATATTTATAATATAAAACACAGCAGCATTATGGTAATATTTGCACTGGTGTTCTGTGAGAGCTTGTTCCTTCTCCGGTCGATCCAATACATTAGTGCTGCAACCTTAACACAATTTTTAAGTGGTTAATTAACTAGCCATTTCGGAATACACTTTACATAACTCGTTACTCCAGCCTTCATTAGAGGCGAAATACGTTTAATCGACGGTGCTTTCCAGTATAGAGGTTTTCGTAGTATTGAAAATGGTGGGTTTAAGGATTGTATTTGGATTTGGTGATAGCAGGGATAGTGCACGTATTTGTAGTATTCTTCAAATCCTAATTTTGTAATTACTCATATAAAACATCATTTTATTTTTTACGTGGAACTTAGTTCCTCAATTTTCGTTAGAATCAAATCTTGAAATGTGTTCGCGTATAGTTTGTTACAATGAAAAATAAACCAGTCTTCAATTTAAATGAAACAGATAAAGCAAGTTTCCTAATTTTTGCAACAAATATTAAAATTAAGGTTTAAAATTACTCAAATTAATAAATTTTGTTATGCCTAGTACAGTACGCTTCTCACGAGGGTATAATTAAAGAGCATAATTTGCCGCGACCTTTTTAGGGCTATTAACTTCTCCTGATTATCTTGGCAGAACAGTCAATGTCGGACTGTATGGGCATTTATTGCTTAATTAATTGATGGATTGAAATAATACTAGTTTTTACGGAATTTATCGCGTATATTTAACTTTTTAAATACCCGACGTTTCGAACGCTTTACAGCACTCATGGTCACGGGCGGGACTGAGATGTTCAACGTCTATATGTCATAGTTAACCGCGGTTACCATAGATTAAAATTTAGCTTTTGTTCCGATCTATACAGTATGAACTTATGGTATCTTGAAGTCTTGCATGTATGCTTGGGTTGGGATTTAATTTTATTTATTATCGGAGCCCAGCCATCTTCTCTATTGGAATTAGGATAATTTTTGATTTCAATAGCCTCGCGAATCATCCTTAGAAGGAAACGGTGTTCTTTAGCGAGGATTTGCGGTCTATCAAATCTGATGTAGGGACGGGGGCGATCCTGTACGTGTTCACAGACTGCAGACTTCCGGGAGCGTCGATTCTTCACATCAGCTATATGTTCTTTAACGAGGGTTTTTATTGATCTTTTAGTTTGTCCTATGTAGGAGAGACCACATTCACAATCAAGCTTGTACACTCCTGCATCTTGCAGAGGGACATTACACTTGACTGATGGTAAAAACTGACCAATCTTCTTCAGCGGCTTGAAGTATGTTTTGATGGAAGCACGCTTCAAGATGTAGCCAATCTTGTCAGTGACTCCTCTAACATATGGCAGTACAGCAGGTACACGCTCGACTGTGGCCGGCTTCACTCGTTCACTGTGACGTAGGCGCGGGACTCGAAGCTTGTTGTCATGCAAAACTTGCTTGACATGGTGGAGCTCGGCAGCCAGGTGTTTACTTTCACACATCCCTCGTGCTCTCTGAAACAAAGATTTACCCACGGTAGCTAACTGTGAAGGATGGTCGTGAGAATCACCGTTTAAATATCTATCTGTATGGGTCTTTTTTCTACACACAGTATGGCTCAAGGTGTTATCAGGATTTCGAATCCTAGTCTATGTCCAGCTTTGTTAGTTTCTTTTATTATATTTAAAAAAGGGGGATATTTACAGTAGTCGCATATGATGTGTAACATCTGAAATAGTGCAAGCTTCCTCGGCTTCCTGCTACACACTTTCATCCCTTTTCTAAAAATAATTCCCACATTGCAGAAAAGACGAGATGTTAAAAATATTAGTACCAACGGAGATCGCAGCCTGTGAGCTACCGCGGCTCTCCTGAGTAAAAGATAAAAATAGGCGAATTTTTTTCACTTACATATTGGACATTTTGTGGCATTTGTAAAAGGATCTCCGATTCTTGTCGCTTATATGAAACACTACGGTAATTATTCTATGATATGTATTATTATACAATGATATTCTATGTGAACATGGCCCTTTCCCGATAATATTACATTACTGCTACTACCTCATATCATTTCGTGGGTGTCGTAAGAGGCGATGAAGGGAAACAAATCGGAAAATGGCCAGCAGCGTCTTCCTAATAACAACCAAAACTAAAAAAAATTCGGTTGCCAACCTGATTGTCAAGCGTGGCAACCATAGAATACTTTAATACAAAAGTAGAATACTATAAATAATTTTGTGCATATTGTAATATTCTATGGTAGCAACTATGAACAATATCCCCCCTATGAGTCTATCCATAGGGGAGGTCTATTTTCAACAGTGTACTTTATGGTCTGTAATGGAACTGGGTTGAGCAGATCGGGAAAATAGCGACGACTACCATTATACAGCTGCAGCGTGGCTCTATCTCTATACTAAATATCTTTATTTAATAGTTAGCTATTAACCGCAACAATATTCACATAGAACTTAAACAAAAAATACCTGCAGATTACAGTGGTCATTGTGCAAGTACTTAAATAATCGAAGAACCATTTTAAAGTTAGATTTTTTTGATGTAATGTCGAAAACTATTTGCAATAATATGAAAGAATATATAATTTAAAATTGAAGATGTATTGATTTCATGTAAAATCTATATATATATCTAAATATTTAGCACTAACAGTGTTGTTGTAAAATTGTGTTTAGGTAAATAGTATTAAAAACCAATTTTGCATCT